TGCCCTGGGGCGTTCAGAAGGGCCCAGCATGTTTCAGCTTTGATCATCGTTCAGCCAGTGGATTAACATATGCAGACTCTCTTCCTCCCTTTGTCGTCAAGCCTACTAATAAATCTATGGCTTCCCTCTGATCAACTACAGGCCATGAATCAATCAACTCACCTCACGTCCTAGCTTTCTCAACAAAGATGGGATCCCTTTGTCTGCTAAAAATGAAAAGAAATTCAAGATGCTCTATTCATGTAAAAAGTAAGGAAATAATATTAATTTATGATTGTGGAGGTCTATTCTTGCATGGCTTGACGTTTGACTAAATGTCATAAAGACTTTTTTCACTACATTGATTGGCAAGGAACTGCCATTATAACCTATACTGTACCATATTTGGTACACAAGATTCTAAGACTTTTAAATTATTAACGTGATCAAAACATTGCTGAAAAACATGTTTCTACTTATTCTACATGCTTTCTGTCATTGTGTTGACAGTTTTATACTTTGTTAGCAAGTAAAAGGCAAAATTACCACTGGACTTCATTATGATAACCTTACCGTTTGAATTGAGCTAAGGCAAGCAGAGAGTTTTTAACACTGGCTGGTTGTATACTTCCTCAAAAAGTTAAAAATAATTTTCAACCTAAAAAAAGCTACGGACTGCAGCTTTAAATATCATCGAACCAAAACATATTATTGGGAGATGTAGAAAGACAGCTAATAGGCTATTTATATGCATTATGTAAGTAATAAACTATGTAAGTGGTCTGCTATAAAGATGTCATTGATTTACATAATATATCAGAATTTAATCTACTTTTTAGTTCATAAATATCAGCAACACTAAAAAGCACGTGTTTGTTCATTTTGGGCCTTTTCCTCCTCGGGTGCGAGTTTCATATTCTCCTATATCATATCATGAGCCATGGAAGCCTGATGTATCAAATATGATTCTTAAAGGAATAGTTCACTTATAAAAGAAAATGAGGTCATCATTTACTCACCCTTGCGTTTCTGAATTTCAAGGGTTTCTATCTTGAATTTCTATCTTCTGCTGAACACACAAGAAGATATTTTGAAGAATGTTGGTAACCAAACAGTTGTTCCCCATTGACTTCCAAAGTATTTTTCCTACTATGGAAGTCAATAGAGTTCATCAACTGTTTGGTTATTCTTCAAAATATCAACATTATTCAAAATATCTTCCTTTGTTCAGCAGAAAGAAATTCATACATGTTTTAAATAACTTGAGGTTGAGTAAATGATGACAGAATTTCAACAAATTTTAATAAAAACACATTTGCTAACTTTTTTAGATATATTTTATATTTTTAGATATATTTATATATTTTGTCTAGTTCGTAAAAAATTATATGTCAGGATTTAAAGGGTTAAATAAGAAGAGACTATTTTACTAACACATGTAGGCCTAACGCAAAAAGGCAAGTCATTACTGTACAGCCTTGGACTAGCTTCATTTGTCTTGAGAATGAAAAAGAACCAAGCACCATTTTCTGGTTCACCAGTGGTCACTCTTTAAATACAAACACAAGAGTCTATGACCTCCTATATTAGTCTGCGATGGTCAAAAACAGCATTCAGTTTAACAAAAGCAAAAGCTCATCAGGGACTGTATGAAGATGGCCTCATTGGCAGCTGATGGTAGTAGGGCACTAATGTTTCCCCCGCGCATTAGCTCTGCTAAATATTTTCTGCCCTCAAAAACCCATAACTGAGTCGAGTTGCTCACTTGCACTTGCTATGGTATTCCACCATACATTATACAAACATCCATTTTTCATGCTTAGAAGCGCAGCAGTTATTTTGTGTCACCATTCTTGGTCGAGTTACACTACTCGTGTAATTTAAATAGGAAAAACGTGGAGGTGTTTGGTCGCTTTTCTGCTTGGAACCTAACGAATAAATTGGCCTAAGCTAAGTGCTAACAAAGTTTCGCTGCAAACTGAGCGATTTAGTGCATGCACTGAGACGAGTGAGGTATGTATCAACTCATCTTAGATAAGGGAATAACATGGTTTAATATGAAAAGAAAAAAAAAACGGTGGAGTATCCCTTTAAGCTTTATTGACAGTCAGTCCCTCCAGAAAAACGTGACTACGCGATCGCATGATTTAGTGCAAAATCAGCAAAATATACCGGGCTGGCATGATTTCATAATCCTCGCATTTTCATTGCAAAAGTCACGTAGATCTTAGCAGAAAGTTGAAAAATGTTGCATTTGCTTCACAAAAGAGTAGTCATTTCCCCCTATTGCCATGGGAATGTTATGAAATGACGTGTGATGTGAACATCCAAAAGTAAAACAGGAGCACACTTTATTTTTTATATTTTATTTATTCATTTTTACAGAAGTTGTAGCATTTTCCTTTTGTAAAGCTACAGAACTTGTTTGACTCAGTATTTTGTTGATGTTTTTATTAAGGTCTGAAATAAAACAAGATGAGAACTTAAATATTCCCAGCACTTTCTGTGATTTAGTATGCTTGCTTATCATAGGAAGTAATAAGAAATGACTCTTTAAATTAAGGTAGTAGCCTAGTGAGAACTAGTGTTGGGGTAATCACTTTTTTCTCTTTTTCATCAAACCACAGTTTTCGCAAGTTTCATTGCATAAATTGTATAAAGATCCCGCATATTCCATCACATTTTTAAAGAAAACGGCCTGATAATCAAGGATTTTTGCATGCAACAATCACAAAAAAAAAAAAAAAAAAAAAAAAAAAAACTTTTTCTGGAAGGACTGATTGGTCGTAGAAAATAATTTCAATCCATCTCTCGGTTGGTTAAAAATAAATAAATAATTCATAAATTACATTAGTAACCCATATTCAGAAGCTCATCTGACTAAATAATTATTCTGACCTCAAAATGATGATTTAAATTATTTTTAATAATGAATTCCTGAAAACTCTAAAACAAAAATATGCAATTAATACTTTTGAATCCTTTGAGACACTGCCACTGGTATAGGTTTACTCATTCATTGTAAGTCCCTTACTGCAACTGCGATTTATGCTTTTTAAAAATGTTTTTAAAGGGATACTCCACTTTTTTTTTGGAAATAGGCTCATTTTACCACTCCCCCAGAGTTGAACAGTTGAGTTTTACCGTTTTCAAATTTCCATTCAGCCGATTATCTGATATTTAGAAGAATATCAGTAGACAGTTTCTGGTCTCATTGACTTCCATAATAGGAAAAAATAAATACTATGGAAATGAGACCAGAAACTGTCTGGTTACTGATATTCTTCTAAATATCAAAAAAATCTGAATACATTCGAAAACGGTAAAACCCAACTGTTTAACTCTGGGGGAGTTGTAAAATGAGCCTATTTCCAAAAAAAGTGGAGTATCCCTTTAAACAAATCGAAAATATTGTCTGGTAATCAGCATTATTCCCACAGCTGCTTTTGAAACTGCTCCATTTAATTTGAACATGGAATATTCCTTTAAGATGATTACATATCATGAAGAGTATTTGCTTAAAATTTATGGTTCAATATTAAAACTAAATCATGTGACTGTTAAATGAGACAACAGAGAAACACATCTTCTGTAAGGCTATATAAACAGACATGCTGCACATTGCACATCTAATGGGCAGAAAACTGCAGTGAACTAAGTCCATAAACAATCCTGTGTGAGCAGCAAGGAGTACAGCGACCTTTGAGTTAGGAGTTGAGGCCCTATTAAAACAAAACCCAGCTTACTGGCAGGACGCACATCCCCTAACCGCGGAAAAGCAATCTCGCAGCAACTGCTAGGCAATCAGCGGTGCACTGCGCGGGGTTGAGACAGCAATGACCTGCTGATTCCACAACAGCAGAGGTGAACCAGGCTCAACACACTGATGAGCGCTGCACAAACATCAAAAAGGCACAGAGGACCTCCCTACGACCTGTTTCGGCAGCCCCGTCTGACGCCCATACCTTTTATTTGGGCTGATAGTGGAGGATGGATTGGCAAATATCGATCACTGCAGTGTTCGTAAAACTCTCCCTTCAGATTTGAGAGGTGATTATGGTTGGACCCAGCTGATGCCGCTGCGTGACTGTCTGGGAGAGAGTGTGCGGTGGGTGATTGTGATCAAACTAAGAATCCAAACATAGCCCAATCTCATCATTTGTGAACTGCTCTTACCCTTTAGATCAGTGTTTCCCAGTGTTTTTTGCATTACGTCCCCTCCACAGACCCATTAGTAGGGCTCAAGTACTCCTTCACTCACACAAAACGCTAAAATATCGCTAAAATTAAAATTCTGCCATAAATTATTCTTCCATTCATGTTGTTTCAAACCTGCTTGGCTTGCTTTCTTCAACTGAACACAAAATAATATATTACATAGAGGTTTTTAGTCCATACTACCCAAGTCAATGAGATTGTGGTAGACACCATGACTTGTATAAAAAACAGAAACATTCTTCAAAATATAGCTTCTTCTGGGTTCTGCAATAGAAAAAGTCACACAGGTTTGAAACAACATGAGGTTGAGTACATAATATTCATTCAAAGTCTATGACAATATAGGAAACTCCACCCCACAACTACAACAATAATGACATAGAGGAACAATTGCATTGGAATCAGTTTCAGAACTTTTCCAGCAGATGAACAATAAACACTAACAGCCAATTCCATCCTGCTTCAAAGAGCACTTCAGATGACATAGCTGCCATTCTCACTTACTGTATATTAAACAGAATGTTATTATGTGTTGGTGTGAATGTTATATAGTTATCAGTTATTGTGTCACTTTTTTTTTTGGGGGGGGGGGGGGGGGGTTAAACTTAAATTTAATTACCATAGAAGTTTAACAAGTATGAGATATCAACTACATGTGCAATGCACTGCCATTTGAACTTGTTTTTAAGACCAAAACCATGAGCAATGCTCAAACCTTTTTCAGGATTCTGGGATATAATAGACAGCAAAGGCATGTTGCAGTTGAATGAGAACATTGGATAGGGACGTGTCTTGATGCCTACCTCCGTTTGCTGCATTTTTCAGCTCTCAAACTGAAAGCACCTCTTCAACGTTCACAAATGCACGTTCATCTGGTTGAGTCTCGATGATGGGCATCTTGAGTAAAAAACAAAGATAAAAAAGGTAAGAAAAACACAGACGTTACATGACCACAAATGCAATAAAACACATTACCTAAATTCCAACAGATATGGGTGTAACGGATAACATCTCCAGCATTTCCAGCACGTCTCTTTGTCGGAATGGAGACTCCAGTGAGGAACAGTGCCAGTGAACTCCAGACGGGCACTCTCTCCCCCCTTGTGTTTGCAATAGGAAAGGAGTGTTATTAATTAAGGATACGAAGCAGATTTTGACAAGGGTTCCCGAGTGGCAAGCGGTGTGGATTCTTGGCGTTGACCTGGCCCAGCGGGGGTAGCAGGCGCGTTTGAGGAAGGGGGTTGGAGGAGGGTTGTGCTGGCTCCATGCTGGCAGCCAGGCCTTCCACGTCTGCGTTGGTGCTTTGAAGTGTCACCTTGAGAGAAGAGCCAGTGGCCGGGTAGTGAAGGGAGCAGGAGCAATGAAAGGAGTGGCACCGCTTGCGTTGCCAGACACGGCGCTTTTAATATTACATGGGCTCCCGTCCATCTCTCTACACATGCTGGATATTGCCTTTTACTTGATTTATTCGAAAGTGGATCTTACTCTGCTCCTTTTCATGCTGTGGTTCAAGTTAACACCTGTGCAGGTTTTAGCCAGGCTTCCGCACTTGAGTATGGTGTGTCAGGTTCTCTGTAACTGTCAATGAAAAGACAAAGTGTCCGTCACAGCAATGCTTTAACAGCAAATTGAATGATTCATTTAAGATAGGCAGGTCACATCAAGCAGTGACAATGTGACATATCTATATCCTGCTTAAAAATTACACTGTATATGATAATGCTTGTTATTACACAGCTAGCCTACTAATCAGATACACATAAACACGTGGACAATAAATAATGATTTGAGTTTGAGTTATTTTATTGGCTAATCTTACCTGGATGTTATCTTTTAAGATTTCGCAGTACTAAAAAAAAAGTCAGTGACATGTAAGGCTACCACAAAACAGTCAGTCTAGCAAAAAATAAAAAAAAATAAACACTGCTGATATTATACTTAAGTCCCCTAAATTAATGTTCAGTCTAAAATCGATAACAAACGCAAAATTACGCCGGGAGTGTTTTTATAAACCCGAGAGCGAGTAGAGTGGAGGCGTGAAGGGCGTGAAAGTAGCTCCGGTTGCCGCCATTACAACGTTGAATGGCGCCATTGACCAATCAGATGCGAGTATTCCAGAAAGCCGCGTAAATGCGCAGGTCAAAGAGACAGAGAGAAAAAAACAACTCCCACAGCTCCCACCACCACCTTTTTATAACAGCAGCGGCATTTTGGTTTGAAAGGGGAATGAAAGCGAGGCTGGTAGGGATACACACCTCTTTAGTGGGTTATACTCTTAGTGTTATTTAATGTTTTTGGATTGTTATTATTAAATAACATTAGCAGAAAGTTAAAATGTCGCATTTGTTTCACACAAGAGCAGCCATTTCCCCCTATTGCCATGGGAACGTTATGAAATTACTAATTGCGCGACGTGAGCATCATCCAAAAGTGCTATTGTCTGCTATTGTTTTTCTGATGAAATAGGCTAAATATTTTTATGTATTTTCAGTGGACAAAAAAAAAAAAAAAAAAAAAACTATAATTATAAATCATCTAGGAGCTTTATACTAGCTTTGTACACACTGCAAGTCTATCCCTCCCTCACTTTCATAAATGGCGCTGCTCTGAATAAGGTCTCTTTCTATGTGAAGCACCAATAAATTCCAAGCAGGTGTGCGTTGGTCCCTATGGTTGGTCCGCATGAGGAAATCTTTCGCGTAGGCTAGCCTACTTGTAGATTCCATTTCGCCAGTAACAAAATAACATAGCTAGCCTACTTAAAATATAAAAAGTCAGCTTAGTAAATTCTGTTCACATTTGACATTAAAAACGGTGATTGTGGACAGTGACTGCAAAAAGGCTATAGAACTACTGGTCTATTTGAAACAGGAGAACGTTTTTTTTTTTTTTTTTTTTTTTTAAAACAGTGGTCCCAGATCATAAATAGTAGTTTTAACTCCCTTGATTAGTTATGACATCCGCAGCCTTTTATCTATCCCTCCATCTTGCTTTTTAAACCAGATTAACCCAAATGGGCATCCTTTAATGGCCCCCTTTTTTAGAAAAGCCGAAAGAGGATGATAATTAAAATAATTAAACCACTGGGATTGGCTCGCGCATCCCTTGTTCTCTCTCTCTCTCTCTTTCCCCTTTTGCTCTTTCCCTTTCTTCTCTCCTTTTTAAGTTGTGAGTCTACTTGGCTAACAGATTTCAGTGAGGAAAGCACAAACCACCCTCAGTTAATTGAATTTACTCTCATCTCAAAGGTCTAACTAGGCGAGCCCCCTCCCTCCTGTGAAACCGGATGTAGGTGTGTGTGTGTGTGTGTGTGTGTGTGTGTGTGTGTCAGCTGTATAAATCTGATTGCAGGGGTGGGCTCAGGGATAAATGCTCATATTCATTCTATTTCTGTGCACTCTGGGTTAAGCTAAACATAAAGCAAAAAGTATCCTCTTTAACGATTATTTATTCATGGACTTTTAAGCTATTAATGAGGACAAATGAAGTCGTTTTTAGGAGTGTCAGTATGAAATATGCTTACCAAAATGATCTTGTTTTGCATTTCTGCTTCAGCATGTGTCCATGTGGAATAAACAAAACATATAACTGGGATTTTAGGATGCATGATACAGCATTAAAATTAGCCTATATTTTATGATTTTAATCACATTAGACTAGTTGCTGGAAAAAAAAAGGGGGGGGGGGTGTTACTAATGGCAAAAATAATAATTGATTGTGTTAATTGTAATTAGTTTTGCCTTAACTGGGCTTATAATTACACCAATGGATACAATACTGAAAGTATTTCACAAATTTTCACAGTTGGATACAGTTATACTTTAATTAGGGTATAACTTTCAAATGCATGAAAAAAAATATATATATATAAAGATGAGCCCTTGATACCAGGAATCTACATCACTTTCAAGAGAAAACTGAAAAATAATGAAATAAAAATAAGACTCTTTATAGCCCAATCATGACTGCATGGCACTGCTTTAACTCCACGGCTTGCCTCCTCCTGTGTCCTGACAATTTCACAGGGTTGCATTTCAAGTTGGCAAACCGTGAAGAGAAAAATCCCTATGCTGTGAATACTTAAGATTTATACTTAAAATTTTTATACAATCTTTGAAAACATTGAGGAGCAATTTCATATTTGCACTGACATCTAATTTCTCAAGTAGATTCTGAAATCACAAATTGGTATGGATTCCCTCTGCGTCCAATTATTCTGCATCAGTTTCCCTGACCCCTCAGAGTACTGCTAAATTAAACATAAGATTTTTTTTTGACTCAGTCATGAAATAGTCCTACATATGCACACGTTTGATAAACTAATCTTACATTCTCAGTTGTAGTAGCTCTCGTTGTGTTTCGCTCTACCACTGAATTTAAACAAGACGCCCAGAGAGGGAATAATTGTGCCATATGTTTAGGTCACTAGTATCTACATGAAACATAAGCTGTTTGAACTCCACTTGTTTCACAAATATGCTATTTTGACATCAGGATTAATGGATGAAAATTGCTGTTTTTGTAAGTAAACAGGCCAAACTTAAATTATGATAAACTGGTGGTCTCCCAGTCAGGCCAAAACTGGATTAGTAAACTGGATGTTATGAAGAAGGCCAACTCAAACCACTTTAAAACCAGCCAACTGACGACATGAGGAGGACCAGCTAACTAGTAAAGACCAGGACATATACTGAATCTTACAGAACAGTATGTTTTTTTGTAGGGAAGGGCAAGTAGTTGCATGCAATCTATCGTCTACTCTGACCTCAAATCAACATGCATGCTAATCTGCAGATATGCTCGCATTGAGCCATAACCCTCAATAGCGTTTCGACTGCACCTGTTGATTGATAGTTGATAATCAAGAGCAACAGTGCCCTCTAGTTTTCGACCACGAGAAGAACGTTGTGGATGAATATCGCTTACTTTTAAGACATATTTCATTAGTCATAGCCCATGGTCATAAAAATAGGCATACAATGAATAAAATTTAGGAAAAAATGTTTTTTAAACAAAACAAAAAAAGTCAGTTTGCCAAACTGTTTTATCAGCGTTTTTGACAATAATAATAACAACAACAACAACAACAATAAAAAAAGTGACTAAAGACATCAAACCTAAAGACAGACACAAAAAGACACGATAAAAGTGGCTCAACTCCTGTATGGTGTCTTCTAAAGCCTGTATTAGAAAAACAGAGTATTGTTTAATAGGTTTTAAATTACGCATTCAAATATAGCTAATTAAACACGAATTCAAAGTAGCATGCGAACATCCAAACATCCATTTACGCTTCACCAGGAGCTTGACCAAAAGAAAAGTCTATTTCTTCCGGTTGCAAACGTTGTAATATTTTAAACTTCTTTGGTTCTTTTGCATTTTAACGAATTAAACATTACCATTAAATTGAAACTGAAATACGATGAAATCCATACATTACGTGTGACTTAAATGTGCCCAAATGCATTTTATATACCTAAAAAAAAACTAATGTTAATTGTCTGTCTGTTGTAACATTTCTGAAACAAGCATCGTCCATTTAAAATAGCTTCAAATCATTACAAGCAACAGCCAAGGCAGTGATGTTTTCTTCCCAGCATAGCTTGTAAGCCTAAAATTGCATTACATTTCCATTCCAGACATCAGAATGAAATTAATAGAGGAAAATAATCAAGACAACCCCAAATCTGTAGTGCAAAACATTGAAGACGATTTTATTTTTGTCATTCACAGTTAACACAAGCAACTGCTTTAAGAACCTTTTCCTTCCCTCCCACACCAAACCGCCAGAAACTTCATCTCCAGCAAAGGAGCTATTCAAACTTTCCTTTCATTTCACGCTGATTGTACCTTGTATCTTAAGTCATAGTTCCTGTTGTTGGCATTAAAAGAGGATTGTTGTACATGCTCTAGATAGCAAGGCAGAAGGAACAGCAGACTTCAAGGGGACAACAGGATTTGGGAACAATTTGAGTATGACTTACTACATCTGAAATTCGTATATGACACTTGACTAGCAAAGTAGCCATTTCGTGGAAATCGTGGAGATATTTTACACTGTTTCCATTATATAGCGCTCATCGCTACAGTCCACATACTTCCAGCTTGACAAAACTCGAGTCTTGTATTTACCCCCTCTAACTGATATGTGCTAGTATAAGAAATGATGTGCTCAAATAATACAACAAAAACCAGTACATTTAAGCTCTACAAAATACTGTCATTGTCTTATTGAGTATTTGGCACTCATGAAGCAAAATTAGTAATTATATACTTGAACATCTGCAGAGCGCTAACGTGAGAGGGATCATCCATACTATTTTCATGAGTTCTGAGCGAATATGATGACTGAGCTTGAGACTGGAAGGTTAGTATCGTCGAAGCGAATTACTTTTATTTAATAGTAGAAAAGGCTTCAAAATGGCCATCTAGATTTTAATTATGATGTTTTATAGCGATTACAGAAGGATAAGATTCCTAGGTTTAACTAATATATGGCTGTTGTTCAATGCAATATAACTTTTAAAAGCACTGGTGCTTGACTGGTAATACTCGAAAAGCTAAAAAGGA